TACAAAAACAGGGCGTTGGCCCAGGTGATCCCTAAGGTCTTTCAGCTCTGAAAGTTCCCTGATTCGACTGACAAGAAACTGGGAGAAACAGAGCCTGCTATACTGAACCTTCTAACGTCTTTCCTAAGTCCCTTTGCTGCATCTTTGACTCAAGTCCTTTTATTTTGGTCTCTCTGTTTAGACACCAAAATAGTCTTTAAAGTTTTTATCAAAATAATAAAACATGATCATTATACCAAAATTCCACTGGTGATTCTTTTTGGACAGACACCCAGGGAGTGCTGTAGGTGTCCTATTTAAATATTTCATGCAAACTAGTAGGTGAAGGTGTTAAGTCACCCTGAGGTGCACAGGGACAGGCAGCGGAAAGGGCAATGACCTCGTCCCATGCCTTTCTTCAAATCAGCAAACATTACTGAGAAACATTTCTGTGCCCGGTGCCAAGATAGGTACTAGGACACAAAGTTAATCACAACTAAACTCAAGGAGCTCAGAGTCCAACAGGGGAAACCCAGAGAGTCTCCCCGTTAGCAGCAAAATAAAAAGAGATTTCCTCAGCTAAGAAAACCAACCAGGACAGAGGGCAGGGAAGGGGGGGGACCCGGGAAGTTATATGATTAGGTTTTGTTTTCTGGATAGCCCTTCCCGACGAAAGAGCCGTGCCAAGCCTCCTGGAGCACTGTGTCTACTGGGCCATAACCACTTTCCGCTGCAACTTGGCTGAACTTAAAACTGAACAGGTGACTTGAAGGTGAAGGCTGATGATGGAGAAGACAGCCTCTTCCTTCCTCCTGTGACCAGCACACTCTAGTTGTCACTGTTCTTACGTTTAAACAACCCCAAATGGTCAGAAACTTAAGCATTTAACTTCTCTTGAAGAGAGTGCCGGTACACATGCGGGCAGCCCAATGCTGAAAGAGTGGGGCTCGGTGATAGTTTTTGGTGACCTTGAGCTGGTCAGCCTGTCTTCTCCTGTGAAACCTGGGTCTGATATTAACTCCCCGAGGTGACAATCACCTGCTTAGAAAGCACAAAAGGAATATAAACGCCAGTATCAGGCATTCATTGGCCACCAGCACCACATAGTAGCAATGCTTACAAAGGGGTCACTGACTGACTCAGAAACTTTCACCTTGGAAATTCCACCTAAATGGTACACTTCTCTTTTCTAGTAGAACAGACACTGCTCACAAGTAAACAAAGTCCTTCCCTCTGGGTCTGCCCCTGGTCAGGCCGCTCTGTGCTCCATCACCCCAGCGGCTGAGGGACTGCCTACCTGCTGACCAGCTGCTTGTAAGGCAGGAGAGAGAGCAAGTGAGGAAAGTTTCAGCGGGGAGGAGCGAGGGAAATCTCCCCACAGACACAGACCTTCCCTGTCACATGTCTCCAGCACATCTGATTCATCAGTTCATCCTTGAAAGCTTCTGACATCCACTCTCCACTCCACAGAAAAGTTTTTGTGTGCCAGACTCTAGTAGCAGTCCCAGGACTTGCTTGTGGGTTACCAGCAAACATCTTATTATGCACTGTACCACATCCCAAAGACTAAATGAAACACTGCGCACATCGCCAGAACATTTTCAGATGACCTGGAATAATCCCGCTCCTTCATCTCCAGCGCTTGTTATTGGAACATTGTGAATTAAACAAACTCCTCGGAAAAATACACTTCACATACGTGCGCCGACACAGATTCACAGTCTAGGAAGTCAGTAAGTCTGTATACTTGTTCCATAAAGAACAATCCAAAAAGAGAGAGAGAGAGAGAGAGAGAGAGAGAGAGAGAGAGAGAGATACTTCTGTTACTAGTGAAGAACATTAAATTTATTTTAATTACATAGAAATACAGTCACGGAAAGAGGCACCTAAAAAGAACTCAGAGGGTAAGCAATGAGGAAAGAAATGATATGCAAACTAGGGCTGCAATTTTTATGTCACATTTAAGAAAGTGTTTTGTCTGGATTTGTGATCGGTTCTGAATGTGTGGGTACGGGATGGGGCCGCCGCACTCTTTTCCCACTAAAATACAGTGAAATGAGCCACTTGGTAGGACTCCGGCCTGCAGCACACCAACATGAGCCCATCACAACAGTGGGAATAATAGTCTCTTTAGAAGAAGTATCAAGAAAAGTTACAGAACGGATTTTTTTTTCTGTTTCACCCTAAAGTCCATCGTTAGCCCAAGTTTTTTCGATGTCAGATTTACTGGCGCTCCAAATACAATTTACGGGATTTAATATCCTATTATTTAGTTGCCTGTGTTTGTATTATGAAGTGTCAAATAAATTAGATTAACTGTAAGTAAGATTTTCCTGAACTTGATGAGGAGTCTAATTTACAGAGCAAAAGAAACTGGTTTCAAAGTATCCAAGTACCCTAACTTCTTTATTCTCACACCCCCCCCCCCCCCCCCCC